GCCCATCGAGGTAAATGGAGGGGGGCACTAGGGGGGTGTGTGGTGTGGTGGTGTCGTGGGCGGGCCGTAATACCACCTACGTAGGGTGAGCTCGTCGGCGGGGGGTGGGGAGGGTGAGAGAGCTTGTACGGTCCTTCGGGACTCCAGGTTGGAAACAACGAGGCTCAAACGCACAAGGTGAGAGAAGGCAATGAGGCCTTCGCGATTGGGACGTCAGCACGGAGCATCCCCATCCTGACTCGGCGGAGTTGCCCCCCTCGGCGGGGCTCCCAAGGATGGACATTAACAGCCCGCTATATATCACGTCCATTTTTAGTTGGTTGGTGGTTTGTAAGCTTCCAAGTGGCGAGCGCCCACACACCACACACCTCCTTCATGACCACTTTGATCAGATTAATGGGTGGGGGGCAAACAACCTGCGCTGGCGGCATCTGCTCTAGGGGTTCGAGCCTGATTTTTTTTTGGGGGTTGCGTCCATGCGTGCATCCTCGTGTCCGCCTCACTTCTCCCCTGCTCTGTCCCCTCCTTCAGAAGAAATTCCCGACCCTGCAGGCTCTCTCGTCCTATGGAGGAGCGACTGCAGACCAGACGTATGGACTTTGTTCTGGAAGGATCGAGGGGTGGCGTGTGCAGATTCCCCAAGAGGCGGTGGACAAGGGGGTGGTTGCGTGCCCGGTCAGCAACAACAGCAGAAGCAAGTGTCTTGTTTTGTGTGTGTGTGATATATAATATGTGTGTGTGTGTGTGTGTGGCCCATCACAACCAGTCAGTGAGCCTGGCTGGGGTCCTCGACCGCCTGTTGGCTGCTGCTCCGTACAGTGCACCGACTCGCCTTGTTTTTATTTTCTTCTGCCGATGTCTGCGCGGTTCCTGGCCTGGTGGCACGATGTCTCGCGGAGCGCCCGCTCCCCGGCGCTGGGGGTGGGACACAAGGAGCGTTGAGACACGGAGATCCGAGGGGAGTTGGGTGCTCGCTTGGTTCAAGTTGTTCGGTGGCGCCGGAGGATGCGATCTCGTCCAACTCGATCTCGCCTACGGAGGGCCGTCTGTGTCTCGCATCGAGCTCAGCGTCGCCTCAAATGTCTCGCATGCCCGCTAACGGGGGAGGATGGGTGCTATATCTCCTCCCCCCCTCCCTTTTCTCGGGTCCCATGAATCCAGGACGCGGCGCAACGTTACTAGGCTAGGGTTTCTTTCCTTCTTTCGCCCGCGTCGTCTCTGCAGACCACTGGCTCATGCGCACATGGGGTGGCGTTGGTCTCGGGTCATCCTTGTGCCCATGTGGTGCTTTTGTCCCAAGTGTAGATAGGTAGGGTGGTAGGTAGGTAGGTATGGCTTGAATCGAACCACATATGTACCTTCTCTTATCTGAATGATGATGATACCTTGTGTTCTTTGCGTTTTTATTTCACTATACGGATCCGTTCCGGCTACAAACTCCAGGCCTTGTCCACCGTCCTTCTGTGCCTGCCCGACCCCTTCTTCGGCCTGGCTAGCGCCGCACACCGGTCGCCGCATCGTGGCGATTATGGCACATGCCTTCTTCTTTGCAAAGTCGAGCATATACTGGGACTAAGCGTTCTGGCCGCCGCCGAGCTCCCCGAGGAGCGCCTGTAGCTGGGCCAGGGCCACGTTGACTTTTCCGTCGCCGAGTTGATGTGGTAAGCCCGGCTTTGAGCTCACTGTTCGGTCGCGCCTAGGTACTGCATAATGTTTGATCCCATGCCGTTTACCTGAATCTTGACTTTGCCAGTACCAAGAGCGGTGCCATCGTGGAAACGGTTTCGCTCGAAGCGTGAGTGACAGTGCCTGGCTGTCCTCAGCAGGAACGGGATGTTGCTGGAAGGAAGAAAACAGGGGGGACAGGCCATCCCCCGGAAACGCCAAGAAGGCACATGAGATCGCAGCAAGTGCCTGACGAGGATCTGATATCAATATCAATATCAAATGAGGGCGAGGTGGACACCGTGTCTCGCTCCTGCCTACTGCCACTGCCGCTGTTCTATCCCCACCATTGAACTCGAACACTACAGGTTACAGCCCTTTAGTTGGGGGGCTATGGAGCCAATCAACGGACTGGTTTCGTGCTCAATCAGGGGAATGAAAGAAGTGAGCCGTGCTTTCACTCTGTACCTGGCGTCGTTGGCCCGCCGTCGGAAGCTCTTCCGAATTCTTTATGGCTTCCATATAAAGAGATGAGCTAGCCAAGACGCTGGCTTCGGGCCTAACCTCCAGCCTTGCCGTCGTCTCGAGTAGGGTTGAGGGTAGTCAGGGCTCGGTTTGGTTGGCGGTGGAGGGCATGAGAATATGTGAGCTGAAGCTTGCGAATTATGGCCTCCCAGCTGGAACTCCAAAGCCCAAGTCAAGCACCAGAATCACGGCTCTCCCCCCTCTCAGAGCAGAATCTTGGTACGCGGAGTCAATCTCGTGACACTTTTTGTCCGACCATTTCCTACAAAGACACAACCTGAGGCATTCGGGGGTCACCCCCGAGTCGTTCCGTCCGAGTCCATAGGGAAGAGGCCGCCGCCGTGCATGGAAAGCACACACCCAGGGCGTCACCTCTTACCAGCCGCTCCCTTCATGGCCGCAGTCACACCGCCGCCAGCGTGCCCGGCGAGGCGTATTACCTTCCGCACCACCGGGGATTGCTTCAGCAAGCCGTCGAGCAGGTGGCGGCCCAGGAGCCCGCTGGCGCCGGTGAGCACGACAGCCTTGGGCTTGGGCTTGGCCGAGGCGGCAGCGTCGACTGCTCCGCCAATGACCTCTGCGACTAGGGTGTCTCCCGCAAGGCCAACCAGCTGGCCTGTCGCCCGAGTTTAATATCAAGAATACCGGCTGCTGGGGTGTTCATTTGAGCGGATGATCCAATCTCTGTGTTGGATATGTCTTGCCAACATTTCCCCTTGTCGCCCAACTCCCAGTCCCGTTGGGCGGCATCTCCCCAATCCGGGAAGTGCATGGATACTGTCGACCTGCGATAAACCTGCCCACTACCATGTATTGCCCGTGGAGTTGCTGTGCTCCAGCAGAGAAGGGAGGATTTGGCTGAGAATTGTGCAATGTGCCGCTAGCACTGACATGTGGGTGTTCCTTTTTTCGGATGGCTGGAAAAGACGGCAAAGTGGCATCATCCATGGTGTTTTGAAGAAATCGATGACAATCTGCCATCTCTGGCTTGGAGCGACCCCCTGGCAGCAGCGTCCAAACATGCAAAATTCCACAGCAACGTATCTCTCGTATTTCGTATCTTGTTTTCGCGGATAGCCGGTGTATCCGGGTGACCTGATATCGCCTTGTAAGCCCGGCCACCCGCGGCCCCCCGAGCACTGACATGGATGCTACGAACCTGCCATCGGACCACCCAGATTCTCAGGATCCGGACCCGGTTGCTGGGTGTTAAGCTTAATCGGGGCTCGGCGACCCCACAAAACAAACGTCATCGGATAGTGAGGTGGGAAGAATAGCCGATATTCAGACGCTCGCAGCAACCATGTATTGGCCCTATGGCACCCGTGCAGTCAAGATGTCAGTCCGCGGGTGCCGTTGCGCCGCGGTGATGAGGTTGGTGGTGATGGGGAGCGGGAGTGGGAGCGGGAGACTGGATGGCCCCGTCCCCGTCTTTGTTGGGTATATGTACCTCGCCTGGCCGGGACTCCTTGATGGCCTCACAGACTCGGCAGCAGCAGAGGCGCAAACAAACCCCCCAAGACATCCGCCAAGCCTCTGCTCTTTTCCCCCTACTCTTACACGGCACACCATGCCCATCCCCATGGCCGTCTGGGCCGCGGCCGCCGTCCTGGCCGCCTACGTGCTCTACCGGCGCCTCCTCCCCAAGCCGATCCCGGGCGTCGCCTACAACCCCGAGGCGGCGGTCTCCATGCTCGGCGACCTGCCGTCGCTCCTGCGCGACAAGGACGGCATGTTCGAGTGGATGGTCAAGCAGGCGGCGCGGCACCCGGACAGCCCGCTGGTGCAGGTGTTCCTGCAGCCCTTCGGCGGGCGGCCCGCGGTGCTGCTGACCGACTTCCGCGAGTCGCAGGACATCATGGTGCGCCGCGGCCGCGAGTGGGACCGGTCCGACTGGACCATCGACCTGCTGGGCGCGCTGCTGCCCAAACACCACATCAACCTCAAGACCGGCCCCGAGTGGAAGGCCCACCGCCGCCTGCTGCAGGACCTCATGACCCCGTCCTTCCTCGACCGCGTCGCCGCCCCGCACCTCTACGCCGGCTTCGTGAACTTGGTCGACCTGTGGCGCGCCAGGGCGCGCGTTGCCGGCGGGAGGCCGTTCGCGGCCGAGGCCGACATCCACCACGCGACCCTGGACGCCGTTCTCGACTTTACCTTTGGCAAGAGCTACCCGCACCGCGCCATCCCGCCGCAGACGCAGCACCTACTCTTGACCGAGCCGTCGGTCTCCAATAGCAGCAGCAGCAGCAGCAGCAGCAGCAGCAGCAGTACGGCCGACACGCCCCTCGAAATCACGTACGCGCCGGTCCACGAGGCCATCGGGTTCATGCAGCACTGGACCGAGAACTTCAAGCGCGTGCTCGACAGCCCCTTCCCCGGCACCTACTGGCTGTTCCACAGCATGAAACCGTCCGAGGTGCGCTTCCGTCGTCGGCTCACCGCCTTCATCGACGGTCAGATCGACATGGCCGTCGAGAGGCTCGAGTCGCGGCGAGGAAAGAAGGAGGCGGGGGATGGCGACGACACGGCCTGGGTCGGGTCCGCCCTCGAAATGATGGTGCACCGCGAAAAGCTCCTTGCCGAGGCGGAGGGTCGCGAGCCCGTGTTCAAGTCGCAGGTTATGGAGCAAGAGGTACGTTGAGCCACCCCCCGCTCGCCCCGGGACAACTTGTAGAACCCTCTAACCTCTCGTGAACAACAGACGGTCGGCTTCGTCATCGCCGGCCACGACACCTCCAGCACCACCCTCCTCTGGGGTCTGAAGCTGCTGGCCGACCACCCGGCCGTCCAGACCAAGCTGCGCGACGCCCTCCGCGCCGCGCACCCGGCCGCCGCCGCCGAGGGGCGCCTGCCGTCGGTCGAGGAGATCGCATCGGCCGACGCGGCGGCGGCGCTGCCATACCTCGAGGCCGTCATCGAGGAGATCCTGCGCGTCGGCGGCACCATCCCGGGGCTGGACCGGACGTGCGCCCGCGACTCGGTGGTGCTGGGCCGCGTGCTGCCCGCGGGCACCAATCTCATCATGCTCTCCCGCGGGCCCTCCTTCACGGCGCCGCCCGCCGCCGCCGCCGCCGTCGATGAGGCCCTGCGCAGCGACACGTCCCGCAAGGTCGCGGCCGCCGGCGGCGCCGCGTCCCGCCCGG